ATAAGCCCCCCTAATACTGTAAGACAAGACCCCTGGTACTTGTGCTAGCTACCCTATTGGCTATCTACTAAACACCTGCTGACTATCTTACTAACCGGTGTTGATGACGAATCCCCGAGCCGGAGTCTGACTAAAATATCAGGTGATGTGTGGGTCTTGACCACTAAGCAACACTGAGTAGAACTGCTTAGTGTGCTGTCACCTGATTGACAACCACGTTCTGGAACCTTCTAGTTGGTTCTCTACTATTCTGTGGATACTCTGGCGTGCATCTAATCTATATCTAATCGCTATCGGATAAGATAAGATAGGCGCGCACTTATTCTGGAGTATATTCGAAAAACTGTGACAGGTAATGTCACAGAATTTCATAGCATCTATCTTATCTCAGCGTCTAGATAATCTATATCTTATCCAATTAGATATCTTACTAGATAAGTATAGAGTAATAGATAGTGACATCTTACTAGTCAGGTGGTTAGCCTACCAATTGGGCAAGGCTATGGAATATCCCTATCACACCTAGAACCACAACCAGCTGTTCAGGTGATCATCATTGTTGAGCTACTGACTCAATATGAAGCAGATTGTTCACATGTCAGGTATTCTTAGATAGCCAATGGCATATGTAGAGCATCAGTCAGCCTAGGTGTTAGGTGTACTACCAGTAGTATTAGGGGTCTGGTCCCTCATGTATAAAATACCAGAGCAATCCAGTGTAGAGAGAGCAGACTGTTGATACAGCTCTACCGTCATCTACTTCCTCCAAACTATTCTGAGCATACCAGCTCCTATAGCACTCAAGCCCCCCAGCCTACAGCTATATCAACTACCAGCACCAATAGTGAGTGTTGGGATTAGGGTTTTGCTTGGAGTCAAGTATCAAGGCAATACTTTGACACCTGCCCGTCTTCCTTTTCCCTCTTCCACCCCCTGTTTTGTACAAGTGCATGCCTGCACTGTCTGCTCACCACTCTCACCATCTTCTTGGTGCACAGCAAGAAGAGAGCAGGCCATTTGGGCAGCCAGTGTCTCCAAGCCTATACCACCCACACAAACTTTAGTTGTTAACTGCATGAATATTGGTTGTTTATCTATTTTAGAAGAAGGATTATGTTTTTTATATTGATCCTGTATAGTTATATCTACATGAAATGATGCAGTACTGACTTCACAATCAAATTATGTGAAGTCAGTGCTACAGCCACTGGGTGCTTTTGTTCCAATTTAGGCAACAGTGTCTGAACTCACCAGTGGTCTGTGAAGCTGGTGCATGGTGTGAACAGCATAGGCTGGGGCTTCGGAGTCTGTTAGACAAAGACTGGAAGGACATGTTGGGGCACTGCCTTGGAGACACAGGGGCGGCCGGACTCCTGCATGCGACACAACAGCCAGCATGGGCAGGGGCAGCCCTCGACAGATGGCGGAGGGGAGAGCTGC